TGTCATGCTATGAAATGAGATGAGACTCACTCATGCATCTTGTCCCGAGTCCTCACCAACTCCCACAACACAATGTAATGCATGTGTGTAAAACATTTGTCCTTGATGTAATACATCCAAAGATCATTTTGAAATACAATCATATGATCAAAAAACTCATTCATTGTTGGATGTTTCCCATCAAATGAATCATTTATATAAACCAAAATCATGTGTTTTTGCTGGGTATCAGATTTTGGAATCACACTGCTGACTTCGTACGCCATGACATTTTCCAGAATTTTACCTCAAGGGAGTGTATGAACCAAGTAGTCGAGTCTTTTCCCCCAAGAGAGTGTCTAACTCTTCTTGTTATACCCGACACAAACTTTTCATGCATGCAACCATGCGACTTAGTGGAATCTTCAATCCCACTTTTTCGAGCCCACCTTCAACCACCATGTATGATGTTTGAATCAACCATGCCTAAACACACACCCACACTCATGCCTAAGCCCATGAATGTGATGTCATATCATGTCCAAAATGCAATGAATGCCAAATGAGCCATTTAACTACATATTTTCACTTTTGTCATGAAAATTAATATCGATTGCATATAATTACCATAAATCAATATGATGCTAATATATTAACACATGTAGCAACTTATTCATCCTCAACAAAAATCACATAGCACTTAGCAAAACACCGAGGAGGCAACAATAGAATGCATAGTATGCCCAAAAATGTTAAGTTCCAAGGGATTACATAAGTACTTCTTCAATACTGAACTTTGCTAGGAATTGGTCTAGACCAATTTCATACCCATTTCCTCTTTTCTTTAACTATAGTCAAGTGACTTAGGTTATCCCATACTCTTACCCATTTCATAAAACATTCTAGGTAAGAAAATAAACCAAGGTAGGAGAAACCCTACCTCTTAGAGCGTAAATAGAAGGTAGAAACTTCAAGAACTCCAACGCCACCCCAAAAACTTGATTTTTCCAAAATTTCTTCTTTGGATCTTTAGTGAAATTCCTCGTTCTTGGTACGTACGCGTAGCCCTCATCGCGTAGACCAACTTTAGTTCTTGGTTCAATGAATTCCGACCGACGGAACTCCTTGGATCTCAAGAAGAAAGGTAGAATTTATAGATTTTCTCTCTTCTCTCTCTTTCCTCTCTTCAACGTCTGATTTAGTTGGTCAAGTGGGTGAGAATATCTAATTTTTCAGATATTTAGTCCCTATTTATACTTTTTAATTGTACGGTTCATATTGTCCTGCATGTTTATTACTTTTGAGTCCGTTTTTGACCTAAAACGACTTAATTAATTCTTGATTTTAGTTCAAATTAATTTTATTTAAAATTTTATCTAATTATAAGGAAATTTTATAAATTCCCTTTTTGGGGACCTTTGTGAGGTCATTAGTCACCAAATTGTCTTATAAAACGTGCAAAATTCGACTATTTCAGAATTCGACGAAAATTGACATGACAACTTGATTTCGCAATATGAATTCAATGGTGAGGTCTATTGCATCATCTGAGCTCTAAAAAATATATTGATTTTAAACCCACATTATAGTGGCAAATTATTATTTTGTCCTTTTTCCAAAAAAGTTTAAATTTACCCGAATTTTACAGTCTCATTTGACACTATTTTCAGAACGAACAAGGAGCATTGACCCTTTTCTTGTTTTACTGGCTTCAATCATTTCAAGGTGACAGTCTTATTTGGAGCTACATTGTTGTATGATGAAACGACAGAATCATTTCAGTGGTTGTTTGAGACATTCCTACAAGCTATGTCTGAAAAATATCATATTACCATCTTCACCGACCAATATCAAGCGATGACTAAGGCTATTTATATAGTCATGCTAGAGACATACCATAGGTTATGTACTTGACACTTTTTCCAAAATTTGTTAAAATATTTGGGGAACATATATAAGGATGGTTCACATTTTTTTGCTTGATTTAAAGAGTGTGTGTATGGATATGAAGAAGAGCATGAATTATTTGAGGCTTGGGAATCGTTGCTTGCGGAGTATAATTTGCATGATAATATGTGGATGAAAGCCACTTGGGCATTACAAGAGGAATGGGGGCATGTGTATATGAAGAGGACTTTCACTGTAGGAATGAAAAACACTCAATTGAGTGAGAGTTTGAATGCAGCCTTATAGAAGTACTTAAAACCAGACCATGATATTATTCAGTTCTTTGTACATTTTGAAAAAGTTGTGAATGATAAGCGGTATCAGGAGTCAGACTCAAAATACCAAGTTAGGCAAAAATTACATAGATTGATCTTCCAAGTCACAACAATATACAAAACTCACAATTTCATTCAAATTAAACGCATAAGTTCATTCACAACACAAGTTTCATCACTACACCATTGCTCTTACAACTTTACTTTACTAGAATTACAAATATAAGAATCACCACTAATAACGTGACTACAAACATATTTGACTTCATTGAATCTTCTTTAGCCTCAACACGTTGAACTACATTACAAAGTTTTTCAATTTGCAACTTCAATGTCATTACATCGTGTTCAATTCATCATACATTGTCTTCATTTCGTCGTGCATCCATCCTTTCATTTGTAATTTCTGAAGAGGGGAGAGTAATAGGAGTCATCCACTTAAAAAAGTGACTGGAATCGTCTGGACATCTGCAGTATAGCTTCCCAAGATTTTTTTTCAGATTCGAAAACTTTGATAATCACTCTTTTGCTACAAATGGGGCAAGTGCTATTGCAATATCTTAACTCTTCGTTGCTTGTTACCGTGCTTGAAGATGTCATTCTTCAACACTATAAACATGAAAAGAGAATGGTATTAAAACTCAACATTATCGCATAATGAACTTCATCAAAATGATATTCAGCCCATTCACCATTTCTATTCCTCCATGGCACATACATGATAGGACAATGATATTCAGCTCATTCAGAACAATGATATTCTCACAGGGGAGTGTTGTATTCTTATAGCAAATCAGAAGGTAGATTCTGTAATGGCAAATCCCAGTTTGGAAAAGAGAAAATTTTATTTCATGAAAAATCAAAGATTACAAGAATACAAAGCTAAGATTGTTAAGCAAAACAGTAACTGTTTTATGGCCTTACAACTCAGCTACTGCCCTAGCTGATCATCATCCTCCATCTGCAAAAGACTGCACCAGCCACTCTACAACACAACACATATTGCACCAACACAAACTGTAGCAGCAACCATCAGGCCACTCCACAGAATCATCACAGCACAGCAGCCTTAGCACAAAGGAATTTAAAATTCTAAATCCACAGAGTTGGCTTTAATCCTTCAAAAGGACTAAAACCTAATAACTTTTGTCACAGCTGCACTCAGTCATCAACACCAATCACTCCATCAAAGCATTAGAAAAATTATTCACAGAATGCAACTTCTAGTGTTCTGTTCCAGAAAACCAAAGTAGCAACAACACAGCTCCAAGCTCATACAAACAGAAGGAAACTGTTTGTCTAAACCAGACCCCAGACAGAAACTAAAAAACCTCCATCTGTGCTGATTAGAGAATTCTGGCCAATGAAAAAAAACCTGTATTCAATTCCCTGATATCCCCCCAACATATACCTCATCCTCCTTGCAGTAGGCATCCTAAGCTGATCTTGAGTTAAAAGTAATCTCCCAGACACATGCATAATACCTCTGTCTAAAAATTCAGTAAAACAACCAGTCTTAACTACAAATGAGACTAGAAAATTAGCTACATAATTAGCCTCTCTAAACACATGACTGATCTGGCAATGCAAGGTCTCAAGAATTATATGCTATTTGACTTTTCTCTCTCTGCTCCCCCATCGCCTCTCAGTTGCACCAAAGCTCAATGCCACAACACAAAACACAACCAAAAAACCATAACACAATGGCCATTTCATATCAACTTTTATGTACACACATATTGGACTTTAAGCCTTGTTTAATGCATGTAATTGTTTCTATGCAAAAAGAATAAAAAATTCAGAGTAGTGTTCATTCATCAATTATTTCACAGAGTAGTGTTTCTTGCAAATAAAGTTCATTCATTCAACAAATTCGGTAAATTAGGTAAATTTCATAAGGTAGAGTTCATTCATTCAACAAATTTGGTAAATTAGGTAAATTTCACATGGTAGAGTTCATTCATTCAACAAATTTGGTAATATTCCTACAAATACCTTGCGAACATAGTTTCACAGAGAGCTCTATGTTCGAATCCGAATTTTTTACAGTGATGCTTGAAGCACAAACGTTGAAACACAAATCTTGGAAACCCTATCCTTTTTGTAGAGTGATCAGCTGTGGTAGTACAAACATTGAAACCCTTCCATGGCAGTTTGAAAGGTTGGATATTCAATTTGAAGGGTGAATCTTCAGGTAACTTCACTTGGTAGGAGCTGCAATCGACGAAGAGGAACCAAGAGTAAAAAGGGATCTTCAGTTTGAAGAAGCGGGAGGAGATTGCAGATTTGGAATTTGAAGGACCAAAACAACGTCGTTTTGATAAAGGTGAATAAAAAAAAATTACAAAAGACACCCAAAACGGTACTGTTCCACTTAATCGCATGATATGTGATGACGTCCCAACAGCATAGGATTTGCTCCCAAAAGAAGGGAGGGAAAAAAGAATGAAAGTCAAATTTATTTTTAACAAGGATAAAACATAAAATAATACATTGATAAAAATAAAAAGTGGTGTTTACAATTTTACTATCTATTTTAAATTTTTTTTTATCAAATAAAAAATATTCTTTATTTTAAAAAAATTATCTCTATTTTAGAGAGCACCGAAGATACTCTTACATAGGGATACCATTCTTGCTGTGTTGTTCTAATTTTGGATACCTTCCTTGGTACCGTAGTTCTATTCCTGTTGAAGGAATAATAGGATTTCCCTGACAGTCATCGAATGCCCACTCTCTCTCTCCCTCCGAACTTCCCCAAGCGTCTGATCAAACCCATCCTAAATACCCAAGATAACAATGCCCACCGCCAACGCACCATTCTCTCTTCTCCTCCTCACCTTCCTCCTGATCACCACCCCACTACCCTCAACTTCCCTCCCCTTCGCCCAATACCAAACCCTCCTCTCTCTCTCCCACTCTCTCACAACCCGCGTCGCCATCCTACGCGCCTCCCGCGGCGACGTCGAAGGGTCTGCCCGTGCCAGGAAAGTGGCCCAACAGCTGGAGCGTGGGCTGGGGCTCGGCTTCTACGGTCTTATATGGACCATGGGCTGGGACTATCTGAAGAACTACGCGTGGAGAGACGCTACGACGTCGTTTGAGATGCTCAGTTCTTTGCCGGACTTGAACGAGTTGATGAGAGCGGTGAATGAGTTGACTCGGTTGGAGTCGCAGATGGAGAGGGTGGCCTGGCTCCATCGAAATTACAAGGATGCCCTTAGGGTGTCTAAGTCGCTGTTTGGAAGGCTTCTCAAAGTGTTTAGTCAATCGGTACGTTTTGTTAATTTAAAACGAGTCAACTATGTATTTGACTCTAATCTATACCATTTTTGTTAATTAAATTCCTGAATTATGTTTTATGTTAATTTAACCTGAATTATAATATTTATGTCAGTGTGACCCTAATCCCTTAATCTCCTAAATTATACCCTAATTCTCGACTCAATGATATGCATGGGAGGAATTCAGTAAAACTTAGCTGCGAATGTGGCCTATTGAGACAAATGGTATAATTCGGTGGCTAAATTGACACAAAGCATAATTCAGAAACTTGATCGACATAAATGATATAGTTTTTAGGCCAAATAAATAGTTACCAAATTTAAAAATAAGTACAAATTAAAATTTGACCATCTTAATTATCAACTCGATTTTATTTTGTCTTGTTGCATTTTTTATATTGATCCCTCAACTATTTGAATTATTGTACAATGCCTCAAATGCTTAATTGCTTATTATCTTTTTTGACGGAAATTATTGACATGTCGGGTAAAGTGAAAACAATTGTAGTGATGGTGTGAAAAAGTGTTATAGTTGATAGAGTTAAAGTATAATTAGTTTTTTAATAATGTGTGAAATCTAACATTGTAGACGCACCACCTTATGTGGTCATTGCTTCACTACTATTTAATGGATGTTAGCTTGGTAGAAGTTATCCAATTTTGATGTAACTGCTTTTTGGGTTGAGAGGTAAAAATGTCGCATCTCTTGATGAAGCGAAAACAAAGAAAAATTCTGGTGTCAATGAAATGAATTTGGGTGCATCTTTTTCTTGCAATGCGTATTTTAGATTTTGATTTAAGTTCATCTGATGCTCAAGTCAGGGAGGATTCTAAGATCAAACAAATTAATTGTGGAGAAAAAAGTGTATACCTTAGATTTAAGCTCATCCGATATTTATAGGAATTCCTCCCTGCCTCTTAAGGTTTTGATTCATGGTTGTACAAAGTGACACACCTATTTTTTAGCCTTAATTCATGTTGGAATCTTTATGGTTTCTCTTTCCTATTGACTGATTATTTAGGTCACATTTTATAATGTGGACCTATGTTTTAGGTAATTTCCTTACTAGTTGCCTTTGATTATTTGGGATAGCCTAGCTAACTCTTCGTCTGGCTTAATCCTTATCAATCTGTTGAAACCAAGAGTTCCATTCGGTTTCCAATTCATTTGCTTGGTGATTCTCGGCCACTGCTTAATGCAAGCCGTTGAATGACGCATCTATTTCCAGTAATGTTAGACCGACCAAATTTGTGATCAAATTTGGAGTCCAAATGACATGACAGTTGACTTGAGCTTTTTTGATTGGTGTGATGTCATTTGGGCCCCAATAAAAACTTTAAATAATCAACTGCTATGTCATTTGAACTCTAAATTTGGTCCCAAAATTTGGTCAATGTAGTGTTACTCACCTATTTCTAGTTGGCTGGGGCCATAATTTGTTTGGTTTAGTTTGATATGACTCAATCAGAGGCACTACTTTTGCCATACTCTTTTGTGTGCTTTTGTCAAGTGTTCTTTGTCACGTGTCCTCATTTAATGGTCTAATCATATGTAGTCATATGCTTAGAGCCCTTTCAATATTGAATTGCTGAAGTTAAAGCTTTACTTAGTCAAAGCCATTATAACATAGATAGTTAAGGACAACAATGATATCCTAAGAGAGACATCCTAAGGGAAGGGAAAAATCAAGAGTTTACAACTCATCACTATCTATAGTCTAAAACTAAACTTAACGGCGTATTACTTTTGTGATGCTATGGTGTAGTAAATGTCATCCCATGTAACACGTGAATGGCTTTACACTAAAATTTCTCCAGTTTCCTAGGAAGAAGGAATAGTAGGAATATGATGTTTAAATCGCATTATTATTTCTAGAAAGAAAATTTTGGCTCATTTTCATGTTCTTGAAGATGTGAAATAGGATTGGTCATTGGTTTGCCAAAGCCCTTTTGACTTAGATTGGGGTTGGGTAGCAGATGACCCCCCCTAACTAGCACCTATTAGTTAAGGGGATTGGTCGAGTTTAGGAGCGAATTTCACAAATTCATTGAGGCCTATTTCTATTCTAGCTTCTAAAGGCAGTTTTTCCCTATCTTGCTAGGGAAAAGGTTGGGGAGCCCTTTGAACAGGGGACAAAAGTCGGCCTTAATGATCTTACGCATTGTAATCATGCAAATTTCTTCAATAGTAAATGTAAAATAGCATTTTTCATTTAATTGCTTTATCGTTTAAGGTTTGTATTGAAAATGACAGGGACCATTGCGAGGAGTGGTGGAGGCGATGCAGAGAGAAGTGGTGGAGGGTGACTTGCTACGGGACTTCCTTGAAGTGGGAAGTAATGACTTGAAGGGTTTGATTCAAATCTACAAAAACATTGCTTTGCAATTCTCCCCAACTGCTGACAGGACTGATTTATGAATGAGAGAGAAACACAAACGGTTAATTACATTATGTTCCCTGAAACTCTTGCACTAGTTTTAGTTTATCCCTGCTGTTATTGGTTTCCTCACATTGTTGTGAAACCAAATAGCCTAACTAGAGTTGTTGTGGGGGTGGGGGTGGGGTTGGGGGGGGGGGGGGGTTGTAAAACCGACGTTATGTTCGGATTTGAGGCTAGGTGAAACCAATTAACGTAGTTAAGAAACAATGCTAAAAAATTTAAAGTGGAGGGTTAAAGTAAAACTAGTGCAATAGTTTGAAATGGAAAAAGCAGAATTAACCGGGTTTTTGAAAGTTTGTAGCATGATATGTTAGAAAAATGAAATATATGGCTCCCCTTGTTTGATGGTGTAATTTGTAGTAATATTGCTTGTGAAAATACAAATGCAGATGAAGGTGAAATTCTTTATGTTGGTTCGTCTCAATAGTTGCGTTAAGTGTTACGATCTAGAATTTTGAGATGCGATGATATTGCATGCCTTTTTTTTTTTTTTTTGGGTGGCCCCTGTTTTTCCCCCCAAATTTTTCATTTTTTTCTGAATTGCAGTTCATAGATGGGCCGGGCCTAGCCATCGGACAAAAAAGTTTACAACCCGGGTTAGCATATTGTCACATCTTGGGCTGACTGGGAAATGGAAACCCGTTTAATTGGTATTGTCTGAAGGTAATCTTGTTTTTTTGTTTTTAATCTTGCATTTCTTAATTTAGTGTTATATGAATTATCATACAAATTATTGATTTTTCATTTAGTTTGTAGGATGTGGATCGTGTAAATCTATGTGGGACCTATGTGTGTTACATTTAGTTGATAGAGAAAAAAGTCTTAGCTCTGCAATTTCTAATTTAGTGGTTATACATGTCGACCTGAGCATGACACAAACAAGACGGGATTTAATGTGATACAATTTGACCATGACATTAATGCAAAGACATAATTGACATATAACATGGCACGACTCAATTGAAAGTTTGGCATGCAACCATGGAGACCCTTAGTTATAATGAAGTCATGTGGTAGATAGTGAAGTGGAACATATCAAACGTGGTTTTGAAATTGATAGGTTTAGTAGGGGTGTTGCTTCAACTACCTTACTTTAATTCCAAAAATTGGTAGGAGTCATAAGTTCTAGTTAATGCTACTGTTGGGATCTTATCCTTTTGCATTTCAATCAGCAATGCCAAATTTTAATGAATGCTATAGGAGATCATGAGTAGACTCTTTTGATTGTTACATACATTGTTTAAAGACAAGACAATGAAATGAGTGTAGGCCTTAAATAGTGGTGAAGTGTATATGGTCCTCTACATTACTGCATACTGCATTAAATTTCTATATCTGGGGGGTAGAACAAGGGTGCCTTGCCTTATGTGTGAAATTATTGAATTTGAATACGTAAATAAATAAGTTGATGGATACCCGACTAAGTTCTCAAAACGGAGAGTTATCTAGAGACGGAGAAACTCTCAACCGCTAGAATGGTAATTTTTGCCTGACCCGTTTTCATCTCTCGTCACAAGGGACTCATTTCGCCTTAACACCGAAACATCAAGTTGACTCGATCGTTGATCTTTACGCGTCTCCTCCTGTATCCTACTAGATAGAGCGAGAGTCTTTTGACAGGGATGCTTATGAGAGGGGTTGCCTGCTGTATGAAGAATTCATCAGACTTTATTAAATCATTGCTGGAAGTCAACTCAAATGCAGCACTGAGAAATCATTAAATCATTGTCGACAGAGTTCTATAAATCTTTTGAACAAGTCTTCAATGTGTAATTGTAGAGTGAGATCTCTTTTTAGGTTCTTATATAAGTATTGTGGAATAATAATGATTTATGACTGGTTTTAATAAGTTTTATTTGACAGTTTTAAATATACTTATCTAACGGCTACTAATATTTCTTTCAAAACTATTTAAATTACACCGTGTCTTCAGGCACGAGTTATCTCTCAAAACTAACAAAGATGGATATATATGGGTTACTTTAATTTAAACATAACTTTTAAATTAAGATAACCGATTTTATTCTTATGTTACATATCATACTCAATGTACATTTTCTTCCCATGTTTTTGGTGAACTAATTTTCTAAGAGACGACTACATAGGTATATTGTCAAATTAGACTTCTATTGACAGTCGTAGAGTGAAATCCGATTCATGTAGGACTCAAACTTGAGTTAGCCAACTAAGCAAATAAGATTCAAAAAATGTTGGTCATTGTGCAAAGTGAAATTTGGCATAACATCCCACGAGTTCAAAGACCGCATAGTTGGGACTGTTCCAGGTTATAAAAATGGGAACTCAAGCGACAAATATAAAGTCATGTACTTTTTAGACTAGTTTTGTATATTTTAAGAATAATTGAATTTTTTAGTTCACTGTTGGAGGGCAGAGTGGGGGTGGTGGTGAATTTCTATGGAAAAAGAATTGAATTTACTGATGAGAAGACACAATGATTCTTGGTTAGAGTTGAATCTCATGCCTTAAAAAGTATAAGTCTAGATTTATTTACAAATTAAGTACCAACTTTGTAATTTTCAACAATTATTCATATAAAAAAATGTCTCCAAACTGCCCTCTATTTCTAGAAGAGGCCAGGGAAAGACAGCTTATGTCCATCTAGCACACACTACATTTTCTTATTCAATCATGTGGGATAGTAAGAGTTATGTATCTTCTTCTATCTTCATAACTACACAAGGGTCGTCTATGCAGACCCATGTTACATGGTAGGACTAAACTGAAACATTAAATTTAGTGGTTCAAGCCACATGCACAAGAACCAGCACCAATTAATGCTATGGTGGCCCCCTTTTCCTATTTGTGCATGGCAATATGCTTTATAATATACATCTGCTGAAACCCGTATACTTCGGATGACACTGTTTCAGTAACTAATATTTCAAAAGAGTTACTCTAGTTGATCAGATGCATTGGTATTGGTTTGTGAGAGATTGTATGCATTACAATTTACGAGTTCAGGTACCAGTCATAAGTTTAACAAATTAAATTCATAGTTGTGAAGTTTAGATCATAACAAATATATACAATTGCTTAATGCTTTAGATCAGTTATGCTCTTTCATGTCAATTGTTTGATTTTTTCTTTAAAACCCGTCAATATACTTCGGATGACACCATTTCAATAACTAATACATCAAAAGAGATACTTAAGTTGACTAGATGGGTGTGGTTTGTGGGAGATTGGATGCATTGCGAGTTTAGGTACCAATCACAAATTTAAAAAATTCTAAATTGGGACTATTTTTGGTCATAAAAATATATATATATATATATATACATACACAGCTGCTTACTGCCATTAGATCAGCCACACTCCTTCAGGTCAACCATTGAATTTTTATTTAAAATTCTTCGGTATACTTTAGATGGCACCGTTTTAATAACTAATACATTAAAATAGATATTTTAGTTAACTAGATGTGCGTGGTTTGTGAGAAATTAGACGCATTACAAGTTTAAGTACCGGTTACAAGTTTAAAAAAATTTTTATAAAAAAAACCATATATACAGCTGCTTGATGCCATTATATCATTCAACTATATGTGTAATTTATCATATTGTGAAGGACAAAACAGTAATTTCAGAAAAAGGATAAAATAGTAATTTCAGAAAAAGGACAAAATAGACGCTTGAAAGACCTAGCAAAATTTATTAGCACAACAATGCTCTTTTATGAAATGTATATTGGGCCCACCAGTAGAAAGCGTTGACCTGGTTTTTATGGGAGAAGAAACAAGTCAAATATTTGCTTTATGAGATCTAATCTTGGTTACTTTGTGATTTTTCCAGCTAGTTAAGGAGACTCAGGGTGTGTGTGTGTGTGGGGGTTAAAAGAAGTCTGCCGCAATTCTGCTTTTAAGTGGAAGTGTTGTAGTTTTCTTCTGATAAAAAAAATCTAGTTCAGAATTTTTTGAATTATGAATATGCTATGCACAAGATCATAGTATTTGTAGAAATTAATTAGAACTTGTAGACATTGATCCATCTTTATACAATAATCAACATTTCTTCTTTTAATTTGCTTAATCTCTGTGAGTTTCACCCAATAAGCTTAGGCGATAGATTAGATTAAATGAAACTGACTAGATTTTTACTAAAGAATGAAGAGGATATATATGAAACAACAGACATTGATGGTTGTAAATCGAAATTAGGGTATCGATACTGCAGTGGTCCCCATATCATGTCGGTGCAAATAATGAATTAAATCAGTGTTTCGACATTTCTAATCTTGAATTTTTTTTTACTCTTTGACTTCATAAAGTAGATGGGTTGAGATAATTGTAGCTCATTTCCAATGAGAATCTCTCTTGATATATATATATATATATATATATATATATATATAACTTCATGATCAAGTAAGTGGTATGGTAGTTTGTGCATGGGACTTATAAGAGGAGTCAGTTTATTTATCCACGTCCTTCAAAGACCTAGGGACCTTCATTGTTTTGATCTAAGTACCAAACTCAAGTGTTCAATATTGCTAGCTTATTTAGGGGTACAAGTATGGTGAGTTAATAGAACATGAAAGGATAAATGTGCTTTGAAATTTGGGGCAATATGTGTTTTGTATTAATGTTGGGTGAGTGAAGCACTTCCATGATGAGTTGCAGCCTATTTTGAAGTAGGGAAAATTCCTTTTTCACTCCCTCAACTATGACCCTTTTTTTTTATACTTTTCTCTCAACTATCATGTTTCGCATACTATTAGTTTTACATTGCTCTGATGATTAACGTCCGTTATAAATTTGACGAGAACTTGTTTCAATTTCCCCCCAAAACTGTGTGTTTTGTTCTACTTTGTCTTGACGCATTAATAATTTTCTCCCAAAATATAATAGACGTTTGAGATTGGGACAACATGACATAAATTCAAATAATGGAAGGACAATGTGAAAAAATTAATAGTTCAAGAGATAGAGTGAAATTGGGTTCATTATTAAGGGGGCCAGAATGTAATTTCCCTTTTGAATTATATAAACTCTACTCATCATATGGGTAAACATTCATTGCATAGAAATAAATCAAACTCGGACCTTTTTTGAATCTCTATAGTAGACAAGAAATATAAATTGGAAACAAGAAAAAACATTTGTTCATTATTGTAAGGGAAAATTATGCTTTGATCCTTCAACTACGACTCTTTTTTTTAATATTATTCCCACAACTAGTAATTAGGGCAATATGTAACTAATCACATATTGAACAGAAGTTATTTTATTTTTGTCCCTTAAATTATGTAATTTTTTTTTATTTTGGCCCGATATGTTGGTAATTTTCGTCCAAAGAGATGATGGACGCTTCCAATTGGAGAAATGTGGAATAATTCGAGTAATTGAGGGAGCAATGTAAAAAATTCAATAGTTCAAAAGGCAAAGTGAAATCGAAATCATAGTTTAAGGGGGTCAAAGTATAATTTACCCTTGCACTAAACTGTAGCATAGTTATTATACCTGTGGACTTTGGTACTATAAGTATTACTTTTACGATCTGATTTTTTCTTTTTTTTTAGTTTGGTCAATTTACGCACCCCTTGATTAAACCTTTCTCCAATCAAGTCAAAACATGCTAATCCACACCGGCCTCTGATTCAATTCCATGCATTTGAATACATTATAAAAAAAAAAATTGCCGAGTCAGTCACAGAGCCCAATGCGTAGACTCCCACAATATATATATCCGCGTGAAATCAATGCATCTAACTACTTTCTCAACTGTAAAACTAAATTTAAACAGTAAGCTTTGCACTTTGTCTCTCATCTCTCGCTATATATATTCATTTTTCCAAGCTTTAAATTTCATCACTCACCAACATTCCTCAAGTCTCACACCTTTGCTTATTCATTTGACACTATAATTCTTCTCTTGTGACCATTTTTTGTACTTCATTCTCTTAGTTTTTAGTGATGGGTGGTGGGGTGAAGAAGTGGGTGGTGGTGGTGGTAGCGGCGGTGGCGGTGATGGTAAATTTGTGGAGTGGGGTTGGAGCACAACCACAAGTTCCTTGTTACTTTATATTTGGTGATTCATTGGTGGATAATGGGAATAATAATGGAATTGCATCGTTGGCTAGAGCCAATTACTTGCCTTATGGGATTGACTTCCCTGCTGGACCAACCGGAAGGTTTAGTAATGGTAAAACCACTGTTGATGTCATTGGTGAGCTCTCTCTCTCTCTCTCTCCCCCCCTCCAATCAAAACCAAAAGAATCAAAAAGGATAAAAGGGAAAAAATGAAAAAGACAGATAAAAAAGGCCTGTGTTGGTCTGTCATAGTAGCTTCTTTGAAACGACATATTTTACCTTCTAGTCTGTTTCTCTCTCTTTGTTTATTGGGTTAATATCATAATTAAACTTTCACTTTCACTTTGATTTTAATTTGTTGTTTGAACTTTCACTTTAATTGCTCACTTTTAATTATTAATTTTTTCTTAATTAAGTCATTTTGTCAATTTTTACTGTTAAATCAGGTGAGAACATATGATCTAATGGTAGAAATTGATCAGATCGGACTAGTCTCTATTTGATCTAATGGTAAAAATAGACGGCATAACTTAATTGAAATGAAATTCATGGTTTAGAGACTAAATTGAGACAATTAAAACTTCAGGGACCAAATTAAGACTAAAAATGAAGTTCAGGGACCAATTATATTTTTTACCCTCATTTTTTTTTTTGGCATTTTTGCAATTTTTTTTGTGTCTCTTTCTTGCTTATATGCTGCCACCTTTGAAGGGACAAAAAAGTATATGTTTTAGAGGTCATATAATCCTGAAGGTAGGTTCAGTAATTGAAGCCTAGCCATTCTTTTAAGTTTTAAGGTTCCTTATGACAAAATAAACTTTATGGGTAGAATGGGATTACATTGTTTTTTCAATGAAGATTTCAAAAGAAAGTTTACTATTGAACTGGTTAATATGACTGACTGAATTACTTTCACAATATTACAGCTGAGCTTTTGGGTTTCGATGATTACATTCCTCCCTATGCAAATGCCAGAGGCCGACAAATACTCGGAGGAGTAAACTATGCATCTGCAGCAGCTGGAATTAGAGATGAAACTGGACAGCAATTGGTACCTTAACCTTTTCTTTTATTCCATCCTCTCGTGACAACTATGACCCGTCAATATCAACTCGATATGAGATAATTTTAAAATTGACGCGATTATTAAATACGTATAATAAATAGTTTCGATTAATATTTGACACTTCAAATATACTAAATAGATTATTTTTTTTGTGGGTTTCAACACAAATAATAATGACACGGCACAAAATATCGACATACAGTTTACACGATACCACTCTCATCAATTTCAACTGTATCAATATTGCCTTGCATACCACGGGCTTGATAGCTCTCATAATATGGCCATGCAGTCGGTTAGGGGTTTGAGCCTCATGCATGCAGGCATGTTCATAAATGGATCGGTATCTTATTTGTAGTCAATTCGATTTTCGATTCGTGGGATGTGAGTTGGTATTTTGGACTGATTATTCAAATCTGAATTTGATTCAATATATCCCATCCTATGGATATAGGTGCATGCATGTGGACCCATCAATACCCGACTTGATAGTGATTTGATCCGAATTTCATCAATGTTTTGATGAAATTGAATTGAAATTAAGATGTAATTTGCAAACCCCCCCCCCCCCCCCCCCAAGTGGAGTTATTCGGAGTGGATTGATTTTAGATCGGATTTTTGTCTTTTTTTTTTTTGAAAATCTGATTTAAACATATAACGTAAAAAAAGAAATCAATTGGAATTTGAATCAAATTTCGATCAGATTTTTCGTATCCGATTTGGATCGGACGAATTTCAATTTGTTGATGGACTTACCTAGAAGAATAATAAGTGGTCAATCAGACTATTTTTCTTAATCCCTCCTTCCAAACCTGATAAACAAAAACTCAAACGGGTTTGGGCGGGTTTCTGCTGGGGTCCAAGACCAACTATAGTATAAAAAAAAAAAAAACTCTATGCGTGAGTCACTGAGTCAAAAAATGCGTAATTAAGACAGTTTTTTTTTTTTTTTTTTGTCTTGAAAAGATCATAACTCCCCAGATGTTTTTAAACATGAAATCATGGCACTAATTCTCATATTTTGATGTTGTTTTCTTGCAGGGTGCAAGGATAAGTTTCAGTGGGCAGATAAATAACTACAAAAACACAGTAGCACAAATGGTGGACATACTAGGAGATGAAGACAGTGCTGCAAATTACCTGAGCCAGTGTGTATACACACTTGGAATGGGCAGCAATGACTACCTAAACAACTATTTCATGCCTCAGACTTACTCGACTAGTCGTCAATATACACCTGAACAATATGCTGATGTTCTTATTCAACAATATTCCCAGGGAATACAGGTATTAATTAATCTTCCATGTTCCAAGATTTTCCGATTTTAATTCAAACTTAACCGCCTCGTTGAACTTGGATGATGGCCGTGAGATCCTAACACAGGGCCTCATACATAGCTTAGACTAATGGAGATCTAGTTCTAACTTATTAATTTGCTTAATACTCCTTACTATTTAGTACCAGTCGGGTAGCTTGAAAGTTTAAACTAATTTATAGATCATGCCTCATAGATTGATGGAAAAATTACACTTACAACTCTTTTAACTATGCCTTTCATTTCATATTATCCTACCCCTTTTCTTTCCATTTCACTCTAAGTTATCAATTTTAGTTTCACATTCTCTCAATTGTCGTTTTTTCCCCTTTTCCCTCCATTTTTTCACAACATATTAGGTCAAAAATGAGATCTTACCATTAAGTGATGTGGTCTTTCCTAGTTGGGCGAAATTCCATTTTTGCAATGATTTGCCATGAAAAATTGAAAAAAAAAAAATGATAATTAGGGTAATGCGAAACTCAAATCAACACTTTAAGATGAAATGTGAGAGAGTAGATAGTTTAAAGCTATTATCAAATAAAGGGTGTAAAGTATACTTCGTTGTAGTTTAATTCTATGGTGGGGGCTGAACCTTCTGCCTATACTAAGATGAAAAGGAGGAAAAGAATTGGTTAAATTGACTAGTAGAAGAGCATCGTGGAATTCGCAGAAGTGTGTCCACACCCCCCAAACTAACTTGATGAGAAATCCATTATAGCCAACAAACACAACCCCTACACACCCCTAAGAGCACTCCTTATATATCCATACAAGACCCGAGTAGGCGGGTTGAGGTCGGGTTCTATTGTTATTGTCAGAAATAGAATTCGAAAGGTGGGTTCAAAAGGTTAAAAAAAACTAAGTTTTGTATATATCTTTGCAATCGAGTTAGGGCATTTTTTTTTTTATAAACTTGGAAATTTATCCAGTGGATTGTGGCTCTTGTAGGTTTTGTACAACTATGGAGCAAGGAAAGTTGCCTTGATCGGAGTGGGCCAGATTGGTTGTAGCCCAAATTCATTGGCCCAAAACAGCCCAGATGGTTCAACATGTGTAGAAAGTTATAACTTTGCAAATCGGATATTCAATAACAGGCTCAAGTCTCTAGTTGATGACCTCAACAACAATCTACCACAAGCAAAATTTACCTACATTGATGCTTATGGGATTTTTCAAGATATAATAAGCAATCCATCAAACTTTGGTAAATATTTTCGATACACTTACGTTTAAATTTTGCTATATGCATTGTCGTTTTAATGCTAACTAGTAGCTAGCATTACTTTAAACTCGCTCGGACTACAATGGTCAATATCTGAACTTGATGGAATAGTCGGCACTATTAATAATACTAGCTACATCGACTTGAGTATTAAGTTCATTGTATTAGTTTACACACAAAAAAAGTGACCCTAACTTAATTAACTACTTTTTCTTTTTGGACTAATGGTAAGTGGGCCGGATCAACCACATAATCTAGCCCAAAGGCTTGTGAGAGGTATAATCGGTTTAAGTTTTGGGCCAAGGCCCATGTACCGGCCAAGACATTAAGCCATTCTCTTTTACTCCCCAATTAACCATCTTTTAAATATTTTACAATTTCAAATTGAAATTATTTTTTTATTATTACTTTCACACTTGAAAATAATAAATATTATATGGATAAAGTAGTATAGTTATGTATAAAATAAAACTACTATTTATGGTTGGGCTTAGCCAATCCCCAAGCCAATGTAAACTAGCCTAGGCCAAGGCTTGGGCTAAAGTTATAGCCCAAACCTTGATTTTTTATGGGCTTGCTAAGTGCAATGGTCTACTGGACTCATGCCCACCCATATATTGCAAATAGCAATGATGGAATTCGAGCTGAAATGGAAGAACAAAATTGATATTGTTTCCCAGATGTGTTCATACTTGATTCGAGTGTTAGTGTTAAAATTTTTGTGTGCATATTTGATTTAGGTTTTAGGGTTACGAATGCTGGATGTTGCGGCGTAGGGCGGAACAATGGCCAAATAACCTGTCTTCCTTATCAACCTGCATGCCAAAACAGGGATGAATACCTCTTTTGGGACGCATTTCACCCATCCGAAGCTGCAAATGTCATTGTGGGGAGACGATCATACAATGCTGAATCCTCATCCGACGCATACCCTATCGATATTCGACGCTTGGCTCAACGCTGAAGATGGAGTTGATGAACATGGTGGTGCCATTAGAATATTGTTAAAGCATTTATACTACTGTTTGTATCACTATATAATTATATATATTTTTTGCTGCCATTGTCATTTGAGAGATGTGATATTGTTGTATTACAAGTGCAATTGTTTTAAGGGATGTGATGGTGTTGTATTACCAGTTCAATGAGATTTGTGTATGCTACAAGCTCTCCTCCCAATGTAGAGTTTTCTGTCTCATCGCTTTGGTGACCTACCCATGAAGGTCTACATCCCTTTCTTTGTTTTCCCCTTCTGAGTTAATACTCTCCAACACGCTTTCCTTCTTCCATTGGTAGTCTCAAGGAAGGCTCATTTCCCAATGTAAGATCTATCTATGCATATGAACAGCTTTCTAGTCTCTTTTCTCTTGTTTATCATCTATTTCTATAGTCTGAAACCCCTGAACTCTACTTTGTTTCTTTCCCTTCTTCCCCTGAACACGTGAGAGCAACAATAGCAACGCCGGGATTTCAACCATGTTAGGAGGAACATTCGATTGGTGTAGATGCACAGGCGGCACGTGAAATGTCATCAAATTGAGACACGTGGATAGAGGGTGAATATGCTGCAAATCAGAATTGAGTATGAGAATCAGATGGTGGAACGATATTCTGTTGAACTCAGTGAGACAACGACATCAATGGGGATTGGGGGTACATGGCGAAAGCAGATCGTAAACCTATGTTATGGTAATTTTAAAGTCAATCCTTCATTACATTTACATCTAAAAAATATAGTGGGGGAACAATATTGGGTTCATTGCATGCATCACTACTCAAATGACTTGTCAAATTAAGTACAAGGTGTTGGGGGGGGGGGGGGGGGGGGGAATAATATTTATATACTAAAGTAGTTAGTTTTGTTTGTCTCGACCTTTTCGCGATTCAGATTGTTTGAAAATTATTGATCCGACGATCATAATTGAATTTTCATTCTTTTTAAAATTCTAAGACTCTTATCTTTCATATAATTTTCTCTCTATCTTATACACTTAACTCTCATACGTATATAACTCTCTCTCATAGACATTTTAAACACACACTCTCCCATCTCTCATACTCTCTCTCTCTCTCTATATATATATATATATAAATATGTATATAGATACATAAATATAGATAAAATGAAAGTCTAATTAGGATTTCGTAGTTCAGATTATTTGAAAATTATTGATCCGACGATTTTAATTGGACTTTTATTCATTTTAAAATTCTAAGACTCCTATCTCTCACACTCTCCCATCTCCCATACTCTCTATTTCTCTCTCATATATATATATAAAACAAGTGATACCAATTATAACAAAAAAAACAAAAAATTCAAAGCCAAGTTAATTACCAATAAAAAATAACAAGTGATATCAATTGCACCAAAAAAACTAAAAAATTCAAAGTCAAGTTAATTATCAATAAAAAAATAACAATGACCAATAAAATAAGTGAAACCAATTGTACAAAAAAAAAAAAAAAACAATATCCAAAACCAACTATCAATTTTTTTTTCTTATGTGCATCGTTTTCCCCTTACTAATAGACATATTTTTTTGAATACTTGAATAGTGCAAAATAGACACTTAAACGACAAAAAAGTTAATTAACTCAATTTTTTTTAAAGTGGTGAAATTTAATTTTGTTGATTTGGTTTAATTGCAGCGTGAGAATATTTTTGTAGCATCCGAAATGTGATAGTAGTAGAGAATTTAAATCAATTGTCCTCGCAATTACAAGTAAATTTGCTGGATAATATTAGTTCAATTGAGTTTTTTCTATTTTTTAAAAATTTGATTTGTAGTTCAATGTGAACTAGACAACATAATCATTAGACTTAGCCAAAGGTTGAAAAAAGGAACGTTCATTAGAAAGAAGAGCCACTACGAAGAAATGTATGGTAGGATAATTTTGTAATGATATTAACTTAACTTCGTGGGGGTTCTTGGATTGTGTTAATGTGACATGATTTTTCTTCATTTCAACTCTTACACTTCTTTTATTTGACATTATTGGATGCCCCCATTTGCTAGGCGAATTTTTTGTGTTAAGTGTGCTTTTAGGCATGGGTAATGACTATTATGTAATAATATAGTATGTGACTAGGACATTATAAAATATACAATAATAAATTAAAAAAAGTTGGCTTATGATATGTGGGACTCGTGCAATTATTGTCCTAAAATAGCTATGCCTTTCCATGTGAAGGTATTAATAAACATAAGCGGCTCTAAGATTCATCCCAAATATGCTCATTGTAGCACCTTCTCAGGGGTCACGTCTATTTAGAATGTTAAGGTGAATCTGACTCAAATCAAAGTTGCCTATAAAATCACGATAGTAAAAAATATTGTGCTATTATTTTAGAATATTGAGAAGAACGAGCTCATAAAAGAAATCAAATAAAAGGATAAATTGATGAAACATATAGCAAATGAAGCAAAGGACAAATTGGTACAGAGGCTTACAGAATATGGCTGATCCCAACCGACAACCCCTTGGGCAGCTTTTGATAGCCTCTTTATATAACCTTTTTTTCTTGCACCAGCGAGTCCATTAAAACTAAGATTAATAGTAAAATTGAATTTGCCATTCAAGTGACCGATTATAACGGTCGTAACTGAAATAAAATAATTAGAAATTTTTAAAAACTTTAATATATTCCAACACTAGGGTCCTTTAAGTGCCACTAGAGAGTATTCTTATCCTAAGTTTAAAAATAATTAATTGAAGTGGGATTAACAAATAATGCTCGGTAGGAAAATCTACACTACTACGAATTGACAGAGTTTGAAAATAGTTGTAAGTGTGAAAAACAATTCTTTTCCCGAACCTTACCAAAGTTTTAGTGAGTCTATAATAGCATCAACAATTCGTTATGAACCATATATTTTGCCCGCCAATGACCCAATTACTGGCTAAACAAAATCATATATCGTTCTTATATCTTCCCTCAAATCTTTTCTTTAGTATAAAACTATTGTCTCCATAACCAGCCACCCACACCAAGAATATGATTAAAAAATTAATAAAATAAAGGTCATGAGTCAGTAGGGATCCAACTATTAGAGAGATATGTATGATAAGATTAATTAACTCATTTATAATGTCAAGACTATTTAGATAAATATAGATGATGACGATAGACATAAGTGTGCACTCATTCATTCATTCATTCATTCATTCATGCTCCAAGGCCATAAATAGGATTTGAGGAGAGGCATATGTACACCATTCATTCAGTGAGTAAACAAGAGATCATATAGTTAGGTGGAGATGATAATGGAGAACAATAGGATCAGGGTTCTTGTGGCTACCTGTGATGCTAATGGGGTTACTAACCGCAGGACTCCTATCTCGAAAATAATGCTGGAAGCGGCAAGCTTTGCGTTCCTTGGAACGTGGAGTGCACTCCTGGGCGTTCTTACACTGGTTTGAAATACAAGATAGGTTTTTATTGCTAAGGGACGCATTGCTAGTGCCAAGTGTAAGTGTAACGAGTGGCGAACAAATAACGATTGATGCTTTTATTGTGAAATAATGTCGGTCGTGTATGTGGTGTGTTGCTATCAAGTGAAAACTATGGATTTATCCATGTCCTGTTTTTATATTTTGTTGTAATAATACCTGTTTTTGGGTAGTGTAAAAATAAATGCTCGAATTAGTGTCTCCATAATTTATTCAGGCACAAAACTATTCTTCAGGGAAGAAGACTTTTTTTTTGATATAACTGGCATAACTACACCTTCATATGTAATGTGCCTTGAAAAAAGTCATAGATATGTATCACCGCATAAAATAAGTCAAATGACTATGTATTGTTTTGATATTAACTAGAAGGCTTTAAAGGCCTTGAAATTTTCATTCCAAATATATATGTGATCACAATTTTTTTTCCTAGAAAGTCCATGCATGGAATACAAGTACCAACTCCATAAAAGTGTGAGAAAATTGGTAAAAGTGATTAAATTAAAAAAGTTATTAGTGGTTTGACTTTTATTCGGTCGAACCGTGGTAGTTTGTGATAGAGTTGTATCCTAAAAATTAATTTACTTTTTGTAATGAAATTCAGTTTATTAATCAATAAAACTTCTTTATTTCTTATTTCAATGAAAATTTGTGTGGGTAAAATATTTACATTATTAAATATATGATATGAATGTGTCTTTTATTTTATATTACAGATAATCTGTTCGGCATATACATAGAAAATTAGATTATCAGATTCTTGTATGATATAAGTAAAAATTTATAGTCTTAAATGGAATTGAATACACCACCAGTAGGATTGTAGTACAATCTTCTAACATAATTTGTGTTGACTATAAGAGACTGTCTGACGCCTCGGATTGTTGCACTAATTTGTGATGACCATTATTGATGTTATTTTTTTTACTGACTAAATAAAAAAATAAATACCTCATGGTTATTATGATTGCTTAAGCACTTAATCATAAACTATTTAATTGACATGTGTAATAATTATTAATTTAATTCATAAAAGAGTGAAATTCATATTTGAGTCAACAAACTCAGTGAATTACGAGATGACATTATTTGTATGGTGAAAATTAATTATTAAAGAAAGCCACGTCTCAGTATTTAAAGGGGTTGATGATGTCCTCTTGAGAAAGCTTATAAATTTTGTCCAAGTTAAACTTTGCACGTGGATATAATTATCCGATATGATAAATAAGTTGAGTGATAAAATCTTAATATAAGGAGAAAAATAAGTCAATTAAATATAATTGTCAATAATTTAATTAATTAACAGACATCTATAATTTTTAATGTGAAGAAATTATTAAACATATAATAATGAAGAACTCGAAATATAATTTTGAAATAAGGCTTAGGAAATCAATAATAAGTTTTAAGTGAATTAACCTATTATTAATGGATCATATGATACTTGTTCTGGGTTGGACATAGGATTCCTAAGCCATTGAAAATTAGGCTTTTATTTCTCCTTAAAGTCTCTAATGTAGCCTATAAATAAATACAGTCCCCGATTCTCTCATATAAAACATTTATCGTCACGTTTAAAAAAAGTAGAGAGAGAGAGAGCAA